CGGCTGCCGCTGGGCACCGCTGCGGGCTCCGCGCTGTCCCGATGTTGAGCGCGGACTGGGCAGCCTCCCGCTGCGCTCCGCCGGCTCCGGGCCTTCTGCTTCCCAGCTGGCGGCAGCCTCCTCCCCCAGCCCCGGCGGACTCTGCCCCCTCCCCACGCACTGGCACGGGTTGGGAGCTGCCGGGGGGTGACCGCACGTGTGCGCAGCCCTTGTTCTGCGCTCGGGCTCCGCGTGATTTTCTACCCGTGTCTGCAGAACGTGTGCCCAACCTGTGGCGTGGTCGGCAAAGTGCGGCTACAGAAAACAGCCCCGCCACTCACGTAACTTGCGAGGAACTAGGTGGTGGGCGATGGGTCCACACCCTGCTGATTCCTCTAGAGAAAGGGGTAAACAGTGATGTGCGCAGCCCTTGTTCTGCGCTCGGGCTCCGCGTGATTTTCTACCCGTGTCTGCAGAACGTGTGCCCAACCTGTGGCGTGGTCGGCAAAGTGCGGCTACAGAAAACAGCCCCGCCACTCACGTAACTTGCGAGGAACTAGGTGGTGGGCGATGGGTCCACACCCTGCTGATTCCTCTAGAGAAAGGGGTAAACAGTGAGATGGCAAAATTTGCAGATGATACTAAACTGCTCAAGATAGGTAAGACCAAAGCAGACTGTGAAGAGCTTCAAAAAGTTCTCCCCAAACTAAGTGATTGGGCAACATAATGGCAAATGAAATTTAATGTTGGTAAATGTAAAGTAATGCACATTGGAAAAAATAATCCCAACTATACATGCAATATGATGGGGACTAATTTCGCTACAGCTACTCAAGAGAGAGATCTTGGAGTCACTGTGGATAGTTTTCTGAAAACATCCACTCAGTGCGCAGCGCAGTCAAAAAAGCAAACAAAATGTTAGGAGTCTGTAAAAAAGGGATAGACAATAAGATAGAAAAATATCTTATTGCTTCTATCTAAAACATGGTACTCCCACATCTTGAATACTACCTACAGATGTGGTCCCCTCATGTCAAAAAAGATATATCGGCATTGGAAAAGGTTCAGAAAAGGGCAACAAAAATGATGAGGGGTTTTGAATGGGTAGGGCCCGCTCTACAGAGCGTGGGGGCCGCACATGCGTGGGGTCCCAGGCGGCACGGCGCATGCATCGTGTGCCCGGGGGCCCTGCGCAAGCATCATGCTCCCAGCACACTGCGCATGCGTCGTTTCCCTGTGCGCAGGCCCCCTCAGGCGTGGGGCCCCACGCTGGGGAATCGGTTGAATTGGCCTAAGGCTGGCCCTGGGAATGGGTCCCATATAAAGCGAGATTATAGAGACTTGGACTTTTCATCTTAGGAAAGAGGAGACTAAGGGCTCATCTAGACTACGCTGAAGTTTTGAAAGAGGATATGCAAATTCCCCAGGAATTTGCTTATCTTCTTCCTATCTCACCTTTCAAAAGTGAAAGTAGTTGGAATGAGGGTTTTTTGGCAAATCCCTCCCTTTTTCAAAAAGCCGTGTAGACATCATTTTTTGAGGAAAAGCAGCTTTTCAAAAAAGGGGGAGGGGTGTCAGAAAAAAAAATGCATCCCGACTACTTTCACTTTCAAAAGCTCCATTTTTGAAAGTGAGATCGGAATTTTTTGAAAGAGGCTGTTTTGAAAGTATCTTTCAAAAAAGCCTTTTTCGAAAGAGGAGAAAAGTTTAGATGAGCCCTAAGGGGGGATATGATAGAGGTTTATAAAATCATGATTGTTATGGAAAGAGAGAGTAAAAAGAAGTTACTCACCCTGTGAAGTAATGATTGTTCTGCGAGATGTGCCCCGTGGGTGCTCCACTCTAGGTGTCGGGTCCCGTCCCGGCGCCGCGGCTCGGAGACTTTTCATAGCCGTGCTCTGCCGGCTCGCGCATGCGTGGTTCCCCAGGATAGCGTTTGCGCCTTTGATCAGCCGCGCGCGAGTCGGCAACCGTCAGTTCCTCTCAACCGCCTCAGGTCGCGGTCGGAGCTCCCTGATCTCTTCTCTAGTCATGCTTTTAGATAGTTGTCTACCTGTAAATAGTTAGAGTTCTTAGGGTTAGCTGTGTTCCTGTTAACTGTTATCTCTTCTCTTTTTTAAAAAAAAAAATTCTTTAAAACTGTTTTCACTCAGAAGCGCTGCTGCTAAGCGCTAAGCTGTGAAATTGACTAACCGCAGCGGTTACACACGATTCAGTCTTTCCGTAACTCTGCTCAAAATGCCAGGATCAACTGGTTTCAAGAAATGTTCGGTCTGCCGAGAAGCCATGCCAACGGCTGACGGCCATGATACTTGTATTAGGTGCCTGGGGGAGACTCATGTCCCTGACAAGTGCACCCATTGCTGCAAATTAACTTCAAGAGCCCGGAGGGAGTGGGAGATGAAACTAAGGATGTTCATGTTTGGTAAGGCATTGCAGCCTGACCCTACCCCTCCAGCAGCCACAAAAATCTCCCAGCACAAGCGGAGAGCGGCTTTTCCCGGCATGAACTGGGCTTGTTTAGTTTGGAAAAAAGAAGATTAAGGGGGGACATGATAGCGGTTTTCAAATATCTAAAAGGGTGTCACAAGGAGGAAGGCGAAAATTTGTTCCTCTTGGTTTCTGAGGACAAGACAAGGAGTAATGGGCTTAAATTGTAGCAGGGGAGGTTTAGATTGGACATTAGGAAAACATTCCTAACTGTCAGGGTGGTCAAATATTGGAATAAATTGCCAAGGGAGGTGGTGGAATCTCCCTCTCTGGAGATATTTAAGAACAGGTTAGATAGACATCTGTCAGGGATGGTGTAGACGGAGCTTGGTCCTGCCTTGAGGGCGGGGGGCTGGACTCGATGACCTCTCGAGGTCCCTTCCAGTCCTATTATTCTATGATTCTATGATTCTATAACGTCACTGTAGCCAAGGGCTCAAAGGGAGGATGAGTCAGTTTCTAGGACTAGATCTAAATTCCATAAAGGCAGACGAGGCCTCTGCGCGGGATGAAGATTCGAGAGCCCCTTCAGAAACCTTTCTGTAATAGGGTGAGCGAACAAGGAAACATCCCCATCCTTATGATAGAATGCATTAATTGCCGCCAAGTGTACTCATACAGATGCAACTGCCAGGCCCTTGTCTTGCAGCTGCAAGAGGTATTCCAATATACAAGGGTTGCGAAATGAGGGTCTACATTGTTATCCACACACCATGATTGGAATTTGGACCACTTAGCCATATAAGTGGTTCATGTAGACTGTTTTCTACTATGCATCAACACTTGCTTGACTCTCTGAGAACAGGATTGCTCGGAGTCGGTAAACCAACAAGCATCCATCCGTGAGGTGCAGAACTTCGGGTCTCGGGTGACTGAGAAATCCGTTGCCTTGGGTCAATAAACTTGGAAGAGAAGGCAGAGGATACGGCGCTCTCACTGACATCTGGTGGAGCATTGAGAACCAAGGCTGACGAGCCCATGCTGGGAATAGGAGGATCACCCGGGCTTTGTGTTGATTTTCTCAAGAATCTTGGAAATTAAGACTACTGGGGGAAAGGCATATAGTAACGACCTCCCCCAGTGGAGAAGAAAGGCATCCTCCAGCGAGTGACATCCTATTCTGGCTCTTGAACAATAGACAGGACATTTCGAATTGAGTTCTGTCATGAATAAATCTATCACCGGAAACCCCCAACGAGCAAAGATACGAGTCACCATGTCCATGCAAATCTCCCACTCGTGGTCGCGTGGAAAACGCCTGCTAAGAGAGTCCGCTATTAAGTTGTTGACACCTGGAAGATACGAAGCTGTTAGAACGGTGTTGTTGTTGATACACCAATTCCATAAACGGATGCTCTCTGCACAAAGAGAACGAGATCAGGCACCTCTTTGTCTGTTGATATAAAACATGGTCACCACATTGTCCATTAGAATCCTGGTCATTGTATTCTGAAGCTGCAATTAGAAATGCTTGCAAGCATGACGCACTGCTCTCAACTCGAGCACATTGATATGCAGTAGCATTTCCTGTGTCGCCCAGCGTCCCTGAACCATGAGATTGTCCATGTGAGTCCCTCAACTCGTCAAGGAGGCATC